TCTATTCTTTACAACCACGCAAACCACCAGAAAAGTGACACGTGTATAGCACTATCTGGCAAAGGAATCAAAAGTACTCACACCACTCACACCTGGGCCCGAGTGTGACTGACTTTTAACCACATCCATACACGTGTCCATAAGTACATCAATGGACGGCCCAGATCAGCGGGAAGGGGGGGCGCTGGTAATATTAATACAGCGCCTCCCCAGTCACACCATTCACACCAGGTTTTTTAACTAATAGGGAGGCCTTGTACGGCTGGTGTGAGTTCACTGTTTACCACTACAAAATGCCTCACCAAGCCTCTTTCCGTTTTTATGCCAAGAATATTTTCCTCACCTACCCACAATGCCCATGCCCAAAAGAACAACTCTTAGAACTCCTCCAATCCCTTCTCCAACTAGTCTGTCAGCCATACTACATACTTGTCGCAAGGGAGCTCCATGAAGATGGAAACCCTCACCATCATGCCATGGTTCAATGCACGAAGAAAATCCGAACCTCCAACCCGAGTTTTTTCGATCTCACTGGAACCAACGGGAGGATCTACCATCCAAATATAGAAAAACTCCACTCGCCAACAGCAAGTCGACACTATATACAGAAAGGGGGCAAGTTCGTCGAATGGGGAAAATTCTCATCTAAAGGGAAAAGTCCTTTAAAAAACAGAGACGAACTCTGGAGGGGAATACTTGGCGAAGCAGAAACGGAGGAGCAATTATTTGCTCTCTGTAAAGAAAGATGTCCCACCGATTACATCACAAAATACCCAAAATTAAAAACATTTTCGAGGGATCATTACAAAAGAGAGAGGCCCCCATATACTAGCCCCTTTAATTCATTTCCTTTCTTAAATGAAGAAGTAAAAAAATGGGCAGAAAATAATATTTTGTTTGTAAGTCAAAATTTTGTAAAATACGAACTATGTCAAAATTATTGTTTCTCTGTTTACAGTGAAGACGACAACATTAGATTAGGGATACACAGGAATAATATCCACGATTTATATACCGACGAAGAACTCTCCTCCTCCTTTGATAACAGGAACCAAAATTTCCTGTGTGTGTGATCTTTCCTTTTCTATTTGGTGAACATCTTCACTGTGTTCACTGTGTTTTGCATGTATTTTGCATTTGTTCCTATGACTTTGGTTGTATGTTTCACTTTTGTGATTGGTTTTAATAATAGAATAGATGTGTGTGCGTTATATTTTTTGTAGTCAATTTCTTAGTCTCTAGCATTTCTATATTCAAAAACTACTCTCTTTTTTTGTTTCTCTAAAAAATTTAAAATTAAATGATGAGCTTATTTGAGATTCTACTACTCTCTCTCTCTTACCCAATTTGACAACAACCTCTCCAGAACAGAATGATTATGTAGTTTTCTCTGTTTGGTATATTTCTATTTGGTATTTTTCCACCTTTTTTTTTTTTTGGTCTCTCCTATTCAAATTTTTTTGTTTGGCCTAGGTGTGGAGTTAATAATTATGTGTCGTGATCAGAGAGGATATGTTAATTAGGTATTATTTGAGTAGTAAAAATTGTGATTGTTAATTCACAGATGGTGGTTAGGCTTAACAACCATAATTGTGATTTTTTGTTTTGTTGTCGTCGTGGAGGCATGGTTGGTTGAAAGAAGAACAAGGGATGGAATATGAAGAGTTTGAGATAAAAAAAAAAATGACACCACAACAGGAAATTCCTGCTCTGATACCAATCTGATGCAGGCTGAGGCCTACAATGAAGGAATTAGGATAGGATAGTGCCCGGGATGCCACTCAACCAAGGGGTAGCAGATGCCACTCGACGCTACTAATCGCGGATGCCATTCGGCGCGACCAAGCCACACGCTTGATAGAAGGAGGAATCACTCACTCCAAGTATGACACACTTGCAAATAATTTTTAATCAACTCCCTCCCCTTTATCATCTCATTTCTTCATATATTAATAGGCATTACAAAATGACTCATTACTACTATTAATTAATAAACAACTTGAATTTTCTCTAAGCAATGATGAGAATTGAAATGGGTCCACGAATCTAAGTAATGATGAGAATTCTTGATGTCTCTCAATTTGAATTTTATCTGAAGCTTAGAGTCTAGACATTGCACTTTCAATGACCCCAGAGCAACATTGTACAATAAACTTTCTTTGAAGCTATGATATGTAGGGTGAGATTTCTCCCAATATCATAATTTTCATACTTTTTATGCCTGTCTGCAAAGAAGAGAGGAGGGGAGCAAGCATGCTCATTTTTATTGAAAGATGTTATATAGCACTGCTGATTTAAAAAAAAAAAAAAAAAACATAGATGTTATATAGCATTAGTACAAACACAGAAGAGAGGATGCTCATATTTGTTGATAGATGTTATGTAGTACTGCCAAAAGATGTCATATATCACTTGTACATATTTTATTAAGTTAAATCGATAGAACCGAACCAATTAAGATGAACAGAAGTTTTGATTTTTGAAATTTTGATTTTTAGTCAGTTTTTCATGAAGTACGATTCGTTTTGGTTCTCAAATTTTACAACAATATCAACTGAAATATTTTAGTTAAATATTTTTCAGATTCCAATTCTTTGAGTATTAAAAATCAGTAATCAATAATATTACATGTATTACAATAAAAATTGAGGATGAAACCATTTATAAAACAATCACCATCCTCTTTCTTCCTTTGTTTTCAATGTAAAGTTTGATAAATTTTTATAAAACTCTTAAAATCTCTTATGAATTCTTCATTTACAGTAAATCGCAAGTATGTGATTGATTTTAATTCCACAACCAATAAAATCAAAAAGTTCAGTTGAGAACTAGTTTTTTTTCCTAAACCTGACCCGTATGGGCTGGTCTAGCCATAATTATTTAGAATTGGTTAAAAAAAATGAACATCTTTTTAATAAGGCCCCATATGGCAAGCCACACAAAAAATAGAAAAAATAAACCCTTACAACAAAAGTTCACACCATTAGATCAAACTGGAAGATGTGTCTTGATTTCTGAAAATGTCATTAACACCGGAAAATTTGCAGTCATCCTAATTAAAAGCCACTAAATGTGACCTTTACTTTATCATATAGATCAAACTTTTGTTTGATATTCAAATTAATACAATTATGTAAACACCAAAGTTAGCAGTGCAAACACTGGAAAATATAAACTAAATAATATAATTCAAAATCCCATTTGTGAATCTCACAAATACATGAAGAATAGCTCAAGTATTGGTTTTAATAGCAGATGTATTATACATGATTCAAGTTAGAAGATTCTTGCAAAAGGGATAGCAGGTCGGGTTAACTAAATAAAGATGAAGACAAGATTTCCTCTTCCAAACGTGTGCAATTTCTTCCTTTCAGACATGATAATGCTTAAACAAACACAGATTAAAATGCATCTTTCCTGTCATAGACTATGCATAAAAATGAAGAACCAGAGGAAACATAGGACTGAAGGAAGTTCTAATGTCTCCCAATCCAAGTGAGCTTAACTAATTGAAAAATTCAGAAGCATGCAAGCTAAAAAATATGCAACAAAAGTCAAGTCCTTCGCAAAAGGAAAAGGCAAGAGCGGAGACGATACATTCTCACTAAACATTTCAATGTTTTTTATAGCATTTTCCAACTTTAATCCTCAGCCGTAGACATACCTAGGCATTTCAAAATTCAAAGACAACAGAATTCACAACCAACCAACAATTATCCAGAGTTGGCAGTTAAAAATCACAAAATTCCCTCTTTACATGTCGGTATGTGACATGTAGAGTTCTATTGTTTGTAGTCGTTTGTTTTGGGTTATGTTTTTTTCCTTTATTTTTCTTTCTTGTAGAGGATGCCTTATCCTCATTTCTTATTTTTGATTCTCCACTTCACCTACTCCACCTACCACCTACTACCACCTACTCTTCTATATATAGGAATCATTGTAACATATCAATATAAATTAATCAATAATACAATTCTCTATTTCTCTTTATACATTAAATTTCTACAAAATGTAACCTACTCCATTGTAAGAAATAATAACCTTCAGAATAAGTTGCAATGATCAAATTGAGTTACCTGGTTATTAGCAAATAAACATCACCTAGACTTAATTGATTGAGTTTGCTTGCAAGTCATGCTCTCCAAACTTGGTAGACTTCATCAATTCTGGTGATTCACCTCTGTTGGAGATTGTTAATCTTAAGCAGTGATATGCTTGTAGTTAATTTAGATTCCCCATTTAACATGCCTTGCTCAGTTGAGTCCTTAGAAAAACTTTGTTATTTCCAGGTCTTGCCTCCATCTGCCCATGCTGTTAAATCAACTGCTTCAAAATTCCTGCTTGATTGGTTGTTCCAGTATGAGCACGAACATCGCCAGTGGTCAGCTGTTATTTCCCTTGGATTGATCTCAAGTTGCTTGCATGTGACTGATTACAAGCAAAAATTCCAAAACATCGAAGCACTTATTCAGGTACACAGTTCTGGTGCCCTACTACTTGGAACATGTTGCTGTGAAGAAGTTTGCTGAATCAAATTATCAAATTATGGTTTTCAAAACATCATCACGTACCATAAACTGTGGTCTAAAATCAAATTATCTTGATGCTTTGTTTCATAAAATTTCATGGCTTAATTGAGAATATATTCATGGATAAACATTTTTGGTGGATGTGTCATATTTTTAGTGCTTTTATCTTGTGTTTCATTCCTCAATTGTCTTTTAAACTTTATCTCCAATTATCTCCCCATTTCTGAGGATAATTTTTGTTGTAAAAATAAAAGTTCTTAAAACATTGCCTCACTATTCTTTTCTCAACTCAGAAATCAGCCATAAAGCAGGAAGGAATGGAATATTTTCTTTTCTCTTTTATCATCTCCTGCTGACATACCCTATAGGCATGTTGAACGTAGGACTACTAAAAGAATGTGATAATGATATGGAAATAACTTTACATAAAAAATGGTGTCTAATTTATTGTTTCATGGTCTGTGCTTTCAGGTTTCATCTTGTAGCAGAAGCACCCTTGTAAAAGGAGCTTATGGAGTTGGATTGGGATTTTCATGTCAAGATCTTCTTACCTGGTTGAAGCTTCTGATGACTCCGACTTGGAAAAAGAAACCTGTAAGATGCAGGAAGTAGATTTACTTGGAAATATCAATAGGGCCTTGTCTCAGATGATAAGTCAGTTTACTCCATCTTCATCTGATCTTCTACAAAGTCTCTCTGTATATTTCCCTCTGGGTACAGATGATACTGATTCATATGTAACTTATGAGTCATTGGATAAGAACTATAATGATTTGGAGGAAGATATATGGGGTATTGCAGGACTTGTCCTCTGTCTGGGGAGTTCTATTGGTGCAATATACAGATCTGGGGCCTATGATGTTGTGCAAAAAATTAAAGCCTTTGTCTTATCATGGATTCCACATTTGAATCATTCAGTTCAAAACTCTTTAAGCAGTAAAGGTTTGGATATAGCATTATCTGTGGGATCTTGTCTTGCACTTCCGTCCATAGTGGCATTCTGCCAGAGAGTAGAACTGATGTATGATAATGAACTCGACCAGCTAGTGATTGGCTTTAGGGAGCTCGTTTCGGAACTAGTGTCTGTTAGGAAATCGGGCATCTTCCATCAGAGCTTGTTGATGGCATCTTGCGTTGAAGCAGGAAGCTTACTTGCCTGTATTTTGAATGAAGGTGTGCACCCTTTGAAAGTTGAAGTCGTAAAAGATTTGTTGGCCTTGTTTCGGAAAAGTTACTCTAACCCTCACCCTCCTCTTACCCATTTTGGTGGGATGCTTGGTGTTGTTAATGCATTAGGAGCAGGTGCTGGAACTCTGGTTCCTAATTACCCTTTAAAGACTTTGCGCACCACTTATGACCAAAAGGTGATTATATTTTGCTGCATTACCAAACTCAGTGTTTCTTTAAGTTTGATGATTTGAATTTTTTTTCTCCGCTTTTTTTGACAAGTATTAATTGTTCTTTACAGGATTCTTTTTACATAATGGGTCCTTTACTTTCATGTCCTGTTTTGGAGTCCCAGTTGACATCATTGGTACAAGAGATGTTTCTTGTCGCACAAAATTCCGATGACCATCAACTGCAACAATGTGCAGCATGGGCAGTTTCATTTCTTAGACATTGTTTGTGGTTCAGAGAATTGCAAAACACTGAGAGTAGTTTCCCAAGTGATGCAGCTAGTCAAAAATATGTATCTCAAAATTTTCTCAAGGACAATGTAGTCAAGGAGCTCTCTTTGTGGCTAATGCATCTGAACTATCCTGGGGTAGGTCTCTAGTTGGATAATGAGGAATTGCTTGTTGAAGCACTCTATTGCTCGTAATCAAAGCACCTTATTCTTATATAGAAGAAAATATTTTATACTGCAATTATGACTGACACTCTTTAATGTGACATATATTTGCACTACAGTAGAATTATAGGCGAACTCAGGAGCTTCTGAATAATTTTCTTAGGCTCTTTATTGATGTATTTATTATTTTTATATCTCTATAGCCAAATTGTCTTTTATAAGGTTTATATTGACTTATGTGGAAAGATGATTTACTTGTGTAACCTATTTAAGCTGACTAGTATTCATGATGTAGATGTGAATATCCACGTATTGACTTAGTTTTGGGTAATTTATTTGTGGATATGCTGCTCCTCCATAAACATAAAGAGATGATTCAAGATTGCTCGTTCTTTTAAGAAATCACATTGTTATCTGATTCAACTATCAATCAGAAAACTATTTGCCTTTTCACTTCTTATGCAGAGTATTGAATTAAAATTCTCCGTCACCCCCCATGCCTGCGGTGGATGCATACAAATCTCTCCTTTCCAATCTTTTCTGTTTTTTCTATTTTACTTTATAAAATTCAGGTAGGTACCATTTCACATGTATACACAGTTGCAACTGTTTTACGTTGCCTTTCTTAAGCTCCCAGACTACCAGCATTGGATTGGGGAACAATCATTAGACGGGGCATGAAATATGAGGGTCAAATTGCCGAGTCATTGTCTCCAGATTTAGCTTTTAAAAGTGGAATCCTTGGGGAGAAATGCCTGCAGTTGTCTTTAGCTCATGCAAACCAATTTGATCCACTCCTAAGCTTTCTCGATGAGCTGTCTGACCTGTCCAGGTTCAGGACACTTGAGCTGAATCTTCAATCATGGTTTCACTCTCATCTGGCAGACCTGATAAAAATATTCTCGGGTTCTGGGCTTGAGAAACTATTTGATGATGTGGCTAACTTTTTATCTTCGTTACTCTCTGGAGAAGTCTGTACTGTAAAACAGAAAAGCTTATTGCGGGTTTCGTGCTAGAATGGTCTGTATCTTTGTATGGAAACTTCTCTTGACACTCGAGAGTACGTATCAAACATGGAAAATTGCATGGAGGTCCTCTTTTCTTCATTGGTTGTATTGCATTCAGACGCTATTCCAGGGATGGAGCAGGTGCATTCAGTAGAGTGGTTTGCAGTAGTTAGATGTCTTGCGAAAGCTCGACAGGTATTCACAATTGTGATTATATTTGTTACGTGGATATTATTTTTTTTATAAATTTGTGATTTAAATTTAATTATTCAAAAGTCTGATGTCCTTCAGAAATCTGATGTCTTCACATGATTTGCAACTCTCTCTCTCTCTCTCTCTCTCTCTATTTCTGATAGACATCTTAAAAATATCATATTCTCTTGTGTTTTAGTGGAATAGTTCTCTTACAAATTGGTTGGTAGGTATAGGGGTGCACGCTGGTTGGGTTGGTTGGTTGCGGTTTGTACCAAAGCCCCAGAAGGAGCCCATCCACAATCACTCTAGAGGATCACTTCACACAATCACTCTAGAGGATCCCAACCATAAATTTTTTAGATGATTTTTTTAAGTGAACTATTTTCATATTTTAGGCAATTTTATTTATTTATTTATTTATTTATTTTTAGATGCGCCTAATCTAAATTCTTCTAAAAAGTAAAAAAATGTTGATTAAAATATGAAAAAAAGTTTCTAAACCAAAAGAAAACCCAACACTTCCCATTAGTACTTGATAAACGTACATCTCTACAAATCAATAAAAGTCGATCAAGATTAGCATCCACCAAATTTTTAAAACAAAAATTAAAAATAATAATAATAAAAATCCCACAGCATGCAGCTGAGATGTATTAGAATTTAGAATACATAGGTCCCATTCTTTACGAGTGCCCTATCCTATAGAACCAAAATGCGCTTGTCATTTACCCTCTGAAGTAAATACGAGATAACATCATCCTGCTCGTCCTTGATCAAGCTAGATCATCTGTTTTTGTTCTTACAAACCGTGCATGCAGTCCGCCCTTACAAAGAAGGTCCACGTGATTGCCCAACTGCATAGATCAGTCATTAGCACGCAGAACGCTATATTCATAGCACGAACATAGGAAAAGGGAGAACAGCCTTGCTCTGGGCAAGAAGCATGCTGCCATATGGTCAACAATTTCTACATTTTTACCAAGGTCAAAACAAGCACCGAAGCACAAAAAGGTGATTTGGTCAAGTCATAGAAACTATGAGGACAAAAGGAGGCCCATAATGAACTTGATAGAACTAGTAACTAATCCCAACATCTAAGTACTGAAAAAACTCATATATGAGCAAAAAATCTCAAATATCCTTGATCATGAGACATATAATTATCACTATAAATAAGAACTATAATTCCAACAGTAGTGATTAATATTGACATGATAGAAGTGGATCAATCAAATGGCCGAATTCTAAAGAAAAATCATTATTAATGATCCAAGACCATAAATATTGGTGTATAGAAGTTGATGCTTTGAAATGGCAATATTGCCCAATCTTCGATATTGTATCTGGTCTCAAATAGATTATAACGACAAAAATGGGGGTTCATGTAGCCAGCTGCTTAAAGAGGGGGTTGTAATTGAAGTTGAGTTGGATTGGTAAAATAACGATTTCAATTCTTTACCATTGTTTAAAGTTTTCTCTGTTACTATGGGGAAGTGCCCAGAACTTCATATGGTGCACACACTTTACATTTCCAAATGTAGATGAAGTTAATCCAAATACAGGAAAAGACCTTACCTCAACACCTCGACCACCATCCATTACCATGATTTTGTCAGCGGCTTTTATAGTAGATAGCCTGCAAAAGGTGGGTCACATAACCATTGGGAAGAGATGAGATAAATTCTTGAGCATTGGCTTGTTTCGCAGCCCATTCTGCATCTTGCTGTTTGATGTCTCTTGAGCAACCATAACTAATGTTTGATTTCACATCCATGTGAAAAAGATGGGGTTCCTGTTCAAATAGAACATTTATGGAACAATATTGTAGCAAGTTTTCAAGCATTTCTTGCAGTTATATCAGTCTAACCTGTCCAACAAATCCAATTTTGTCCCGCAGCCACCTGATGTCCAACTTTCTAAGAGGAAAACCATCAACCAAAATCTGTAATTAAATGGCACTTCTATATGTAAGATCCAGCTAGCAAACATCAAAGTCACAATTTTTTAGACATGCAAGGTGTCTCATGCAAAGATAGTTGTGAGACTTATGAGAGAACAATTAAACGAAGTTTGGTATAACAATAAGCGGGTGGAAAAATTCCCCACCACTCCTGTTCCATATTGGAGTTCTAAACATTTTATCTGGTGTCAAACATACTTCACTGGGGACATCGCAGGACACATTTCAGAAATGCTTGAAACTTGCTTAGAGAGAGCATCAGTGGTTTCACCATATAGAAACTTATAAACTAATAGGTGAAATAATAGATTAGTAGTTCCTCCATGTAATCATTTATTCAATTCCAAGATCATGACATAATACATGTGTAAACATTGCTTTCCTCTCCGCTGGTTGGCTCATAGAAGCAAAAGATTCACTAATGTGCTTTTCCCACTACCACTGAGACCGACCTTGGCAAGATTAGGAAATGGAAATACAGTTTGTACTCAAATTTTTATTCCAGAATGAAACAACAGTAAATAAGCAATGTCATTTCTTACAATTGCCACCATTTCATTAGTCTGTACAGAAATGTTTACATGTTCTAGAACAGGTACCTGTTCAAATGTCAGAGACTAGTGGATGAGTTATTTTCATCAAAAAGAATAAACACAAGGAATAGTGTATATCAACGGGAACCGTAAAGGGAGTGATTAAGAAAATCCTATGAAGCTGCTATAAGTCTTCAAAATTTATTTCATGACATATTCATATGATAAAGGTCCTGAGTATATTAAGAGTCATGTGTTACCTCAATAAAAATTATCTTATCAAATGGAAAGGTTTGGCTGATGTGACAAGGCACATTCATACGGAGCCTAACAAAGACAAATTAACAGGAATAACTTTTTCTAAATATAAGAAGTTTATTGAATAATAAAACATGTTATTACAACGTGAAAATATCTTAGTGAGTTTAAGGATGTCAATATCAAGTTTATTGAATAATAAAACATGTTATTCAATTAAACACAATTTCCATACTTTAAGGATGCCAATATAAGTTTCAAACTGAATCCTAATTCACCATGTGTGGGGTGAAAAAAACTTCAAGCAGAATTTCCATACTTTAAGCAGAGTACAGAAAACATATACGGCTCAACAAGAGAACTCTAATATCCTAGTGAGTTTGCATTCAACTTGCCTTGCAATGCCTTTGAAACAAGGGAAAGATCGTATCATCTTTCACTACAATCTCAGCATGTTTTCTGGTAAGAACAACCCACTGCAAGAAGATAATGTAACAGATAAGAGTCAAACAACTACAGTCTGCAGTAACATTGACTAATAGATTATACTTCTTTTTTTGGTTTTCTATTGAACTTCAGGAAGCAACAAAATCAATGCATTGAACTCTTATGGGACTTACCTGAGATCCTTTCCTCCAGTTACGAACAGGAATCACAGGATGCATTTTCGGATTGTAGCGGCCCTCTTTCGTATGAGCAAAACTGCTCCACCATTAAATTTAGAACAAATTTATGAGTACTGCCATGAACTTATATTCCAATAATATAATGTTCTATATAAAGCATAAAGCACATACAACAATTAGAATTCCAAATTCAAAAGAGTTATCAAAGCTAATTGCCAAATCTCTGTGCAGCTTGAAATCAATACAAATTTCTTATTAATTGAGGCTTCAAAACATTCTTTTAATAGGGGAGAGAAACAAATGAGTCAGTCCACTCACCTGTCCACAAAACTAGTTGGTGTTGACATTATATAGTCATATGTATAGCTGAAGTTGTATAAGGGTATGCAGCTGAAACAAGATTAAGTAGATGAAATAAGACTAGGTAAGATGGCCAAGAGAATAACTTGTATTCAACAAAATATTAAGTGGCAACTAAATCCTTGATGCGCCTTATGTCACAGACAATTAAACACCACTTGATCAAATAAAATACATTTCTTTTTCAATTTTTTCACCTCCCATTCTCTCTCTCTCTCTCTATATATATATATATATATATAAACAAACATAAAAATACTTGCTCAAAATTACTGTACAGAAAAATAAATGAATGATAAATATGAAACTAACAATCATGCCACCAGCCAAGTAAATGCCCAGTAAATGATTTAATCAACTATGAAACTAATCATTACACAATATTATCTACTATTGTTATTCCCAGTAAATGCCAAGTGATCAAGCTCGAACAAATCCGAACTTGAATCACTAGCCGCATCGTCATAGTCATCTTCGTTGCCACTAGCATTTTCATTTCTGAGCACCATAGCATTCTTTGCATGCCCTTTCAAAATCTCTCTCACGGCTGCTGAACACGTAGATGCCCATGAACACGTACATGCTTGAGTGGACTCTGCTTTTCTCTTCTTCGTCTTCTTTGAATTTCCATTAGTAAACAGAGATTTGAAAAGGCTCGCGAGCTTAGCCCCAGGCCAGATTGGCTGTTTC